CACTGTTCACACATTGCGCCACAGCCGAATGACGCTCAAAACGAACGAATCTGCGCAAATGCGAAATGAATGAAATGCGTATCGATCTACAAAATGGGAGGAGCATCGAATCGCGCAAAATCTGCGAATCCTTTTAAAAGAAATGGGTGTCTATCGACCGAGTCAATCGGAGATCGACAGCGCGAAACGGCGGTGCAAAAATCCTCCAGCAACGCTAATACAGCGTGCTCTACAATGTCGACACGCATTTAATCCTTTTCGCATCTGCTTTCGCGCGTGCGCAGATTCTTAACCCTTTCGGACCTGAATTTTTCCCCGTGGAGAAATTTTACTTCTAGCTATTGTTTTACTTGTGAGCATATAGGTATCATTATGGCTAAATTTGGAAGCTATTCGATCACAAACAAAGAAACTGAAAAGCTTTGAAAATTGGCCCACCTTCTTAGTTTTTAAGCTTATGTCGAAACAATTCGAAATTTCATAGTTATGCCGAAAAAGTTTATAATCTTGCATAACATTATAACCCATAATTTTGATTTAGGAATGGATCCACTTCAAGTATTTTAAGAAAAAGTCACACTTACTTGGCCGGTTGCGGGGGTCAGCGCCCATTCACTTGTTGCACTTGTACACAAATACTTGTAATACTAACAGCAATAAACAATGAAATGGCCGGTTAAGCTCATAATTAGGAAGGGGAAGGTTGACTGAAGCAAACTCTAGCAGAATTAGAAAAACTATGCTGTTTCAGCGGAAATGCAAGCGTTTGAATTTGGTGGTGGCAATTGCCACCGCCAGGGCCGAAAGGGTTAATGTTGATATGTATCTGATTCTTTTCGCAAATTTGAATATTCGATAATTTTAAAACTGTGAACAGTGCTTAGAAAACAGCGAATGAACAAAGGCAAGGTAATGGCGAAAAAAGAAATGCGAATAACGAAGCGAAATAGAGGGTGAAGAAACCCGAAACTGCCTTCAATTCTCCGCGTCGCCAAGTGAGGGGACGAATCCCCCTAGTCTCGACTAGGGGGATGTATCCCCTGCCTGCAGAGACGCAGAGGGTCGACGGCAGTGACCGTCCCGCACGGTTGCGTCATAGGAGCCACCGAAAAACGATGGGTCTTGCGACGAAGTAGGGGATATATCCCCAAGGCGTTGGGGACATGCTCACTGCTGTGGGTGGTGTTTTCGCTGGGCACCGGCCCCCAGCAATGGTACCTAAGTGATAAGCGCATACCCCCTTCTCAGGAGCGACTGCCCACTATAGGCGCATGCATAGGTCGGTCGTCCCGTCGTAACGGGATGCGTCGTCAGACTTGTCTGAGTATTTGACGATGGATACGTATCTAACGCTTTGCGACCATTACGATCGTTACGATTGGACGACCAACAATGCATGCGCCCTATGATCTGGTATAATCGCATACGAAGCGTACCTCAACGCCAACCCTTTATGCCTTGCTATTGTGAGAGAGAGGTAATCGAACTACCTTATTTCTTTTTGTTCTTGTGCGAAGCATGATTTACCATTTCTACTGGCCGTGAGAAATTGTCGAAGGCTTCTTGGCTGACGCAGGGTTCACGAGGACAGAAAGCGATTTTTTCGCGTTTCGCAGCGCGAAACATTTTTCGCTGCAGGAACCTCAGGTCCACCGCTGATCATGAGTGGACCCGGAGTTCCTGCAGCGAAAATGTTTCGCAAGCGAAACGCGAAAAGGTCGCTTTCTGTCCTAGTGAACCACACCCTGACGCAGGAAACACGCTGACATCCAAAAATTACGACAAACCCTACTTCACTTTATGCACGGAATACATGTGGCACACATAGCCATTATCCTTTCACGTTTTCGCCACGTTCCACTTTTGATCAAACTTAAATAACTCATCCTAAACCAGCCGATGGAAACGCCAAAATCAAATGATGTAAATGGAGAACGTTGTAAATGGTTCGCAACGAAACAGTCGCAAAAGGAGGCCAGTCTGCATAAAACTCCCCTGGCATTATTTTCTGGGTGCAATTAGGCGACAATGGAAACCACACTTTAGCTCAAATCGATTGGTCACTAGTATCAATGAAGTAAGTTGGCTTGATGCATCACTTCACCTCGTTATCGAAGGATATTTAAGAAGCACAAGAAGCATAGTGAGGAAAACCGTAGCCAATAGACAGCTCAAGATAAATGACAAGTGATCAATCATATCGAGTGTTTGAGGAATGCCATGACCCTTCACCAGCAAAAAGAGTAACAACAACATGATTTAACGAATGCGTCCAAATCAAATTGAATAGCCCACGTATGGCGCTCCGTGAACCACCACTCGAAGACCGTGCAGTCGCGTACCGCACGCGACTACCGTACTCTGACGGCTGGTTTTATGTAGTTCACACCTCCATTAGAGTTTTCTGATGGTGAGAAGAACTTTAATCGAAGGAAATAAGGCTCTATTCCATAGCGCGGTGGGCCGGAATAACTGAGGGCGACAGCTGCTTCTGGCGCCTTCAGTTAGTCCGATTCTGTAGGGCTGCAGTGGGTGTAAAAGTGGAAATGAAACAATTCACGCATTTCGAGGATTTCCTGCTGCTGATCAAACTGGAGTTACTGGTTAACGCGCGACCTATCCCCTTACAGGAATGAACCGGAGAATGAAAAGCCTTATTGATTACTCCACTACATATAAAGCGGTATGTCTGTCTGTTTGTGTATGTGTGTATGTGTGTGTGCGTGGGTCACGAAATTCGCAAGATTATAAGTTAAGGGCGAAGTTCGGGCTCAGACCCACCTAATAAGCCCTTAAAGTGGCTAGAAGTGCATGGGACGCAACTGCAGGCGACTCGCCAAGTTCCCGCATCGAAATGCGTCACTAGGGGCCAAGGACTTTGACACGCTCCACCTGTTGCGACACGCTCCGCCCACCGCTCGATATTTTGTCTGCGTCGCAATGCTGATCTGCTATGCTCTCTCTTCTCGGACTTCTCTACCGCTCTCCGCGCTCACATTATCTCTCATCTCCCTGCCGGCCTTTTGAACTTCTCCGCAGCGTAGAGCAAAAGGCTCGTATTTCCTGTGTATTTCACGATTTTTTTCCTTTTTTTCTCCACTGGCGGTCCACCTCCCCCCTACATCACATTTGAGTAGAATTACCTCATCAGTTTAAGCTTGAATCTTGCCTTTAAGGAACATAGGATGTATACCGTAACCCACGTTTGCGTCAGAGCGCGGTTGCAGGCTTTCCAGTGCACAATGCCAGCACTAGTGTGAGAGCGATCAACGACGCCGCCTCTGCTGTTCAGTGCAGCGACCCAAAAATGGAGACAAGAGAAAGTCGATGACACGTGAGATTGCGCGCCCCAGTGCGATGTCGGGAAGGTTACGGTATACACCCTATGTTCCTGAACTTATAATCTATGTAGTACAAAATTCATAGCTCGCTTCCCTGCAGCGATGGAGCGCTGTATTTTGAATATGATGTAGGGGGTGGGACGGGAACATATTTGGTGGGGTCAGAAAGTGATAACGACTGATAAGATCTGATAAGAGGCGCTGAAACGCAAATTTCACGAAATTCATAGCGCGCGTCCCAGCAGCAGTGGGCGTTGGTTCCAAGAAGTGATGTACAGGGTGGGACGGGAACATATTTGGTGGGGTACAGAAAGTGATAAGGGCTGATAAGGGTTGATAAGAGGCGCTGAAACGCAAATTTCACGAAATTCATAGCGCGCGTCCCAGCAGCAGTGGGGCGTTGGTTCCAAGAAGTGATGTACAGGGTGGGACGGGAACATGTTCGGTGGGGTACAGGAAGTGATAAGGGCCGATAAGGGCCGATAATTGCGATATTCGTAGGAACATAGAGACCATTTAAAACCATATTCTAGATAACGCATTTCACTTCAGTATCATCTCATTGCGTTGTTGTCATCAACATAAAATACCTTTCAACCGCTACAGTCCCAAAGTCCCTAAGAGCGGAGCTACCCTCGCCTTCAAATGACCAGAAATTGTGCAATTGCAGAAATTGACGTGGCATTAACGTGGCATCGATTCAAGAACATCTTTGAGCACACGTGATGTCACCTTTTCATCGAGAATTTAGCCACGTGTGCCAATGCCACGTCAATTTCTGCAATTGCACAATTTCTGGTCATTTGAAGGCGAGGGTACACTGGTATATACAGGGTGGCGAAAAATTACGTGCGCCAAGAAACACGTCCGAACTTTATTCCTTGTCCACGAAAATTTGAAAGTAATTAATTTCATGAAACCTCAAATCATGACATTTTATAAGTGCAAAGAAGTTTTGAAGTAGCTGCCATCAGTTTTGATACAGGCCTCAAATTGTTTCTTCAGCGAGTCGATGGTGCGGCGGAGGAGTTCATCGCATTATTCATTCTGAATTTCAGTCAGTTCTTATCAAAATCACCAAATTTCAATTCTTTAGTAGTTCTTCAATAAAACCCCAAACAGAGAAGTCTGACTGATCCAAATTCGGACTGTAGGAAGACCACGAATCCTTCGTCAGAACACAGCCGATACTGGTCTCGAAGAAGTGAATCGTTATATTGGCCCATGGGCCCAAGCGAACTCCTGTAAAATGACAGAATTGCTTTAATTCTGCTTTCAGGGAATCGCAGCTTTCTGGAGAACCTTTTCTTGATAGACCTTCCCATTGATTTCAACACTTTTATCGATAAAAACCTGTGAAGGCTTGCCCGAAGCACTGATCCAGCCTCAAATCATCAAATTTTTAAGGGACGAAATTCTTACGGGTACTTTCCATTTACGGATGTTACTGAGAGCTGGGACAAAAGATTAGGAGTGATTCCGAGAGGTTTAATGCACATAAACGGAGAAATTTCATTTGTGAAACCCCAGGGCCTGATTAGGCATAGCTATAGAACTCGCTGCGTTTCAAATTTGTACAGGCTTGCAATCATCGCTACTGTAATCAATACATATACATGAATGAACCTTGTTGCCGTTGACTAACAAGGGTGATGACTGTCATTGATGCATCGAATAAAGTGTCTTGTGTTTTTGTGAGTGAAGTGCCATGTAGAAAGATATCGCCAAGAACGAGATTGCGACTGTGGTGATGAAAAGAATACAGCACACCGCTACGATGAGAGCGAATAGAGATTTCGAAATGCGAAGGTTGTTCGTCGATTCTGGAATAAAAAATGTTGATTATGAGACCTTCACATTTTGCATGAGGAACCTCTTAAAAGCATAAAATGTAATGAATCCTCGTGAGCTAGCTACCTACTCTCATGTTCTTTACATCTATTTACTCTTAAATTAATTCTGTGGAAGTGAAATGTCGATCCAGAAACCTGAAGATATTCGCGATAGTTTCTTTTTGCTGATATCTTCTTGTGATAGTTCCACTTCTATGCTATCGAAGAGGCGCAGCTCGGCTTGCAAAGAGGCTTGACGTAGACGACGCCGGTAATTTGGACATATCTCCTGAAGATATCTCTTGATCATTCCATACTCGGGTGTTGCTCCTTTTGGAAACACAACTACTGTTATTAGTAAAGGAAAAGGTGAAAGTGAAAGGAAAATTATGCAACACTCCCGTTTCCTTCCAAGTTCCTTTTTTTCTTCTCAAATTTGTGAGTGGAGACTAGAGTGAAGGAAGAAAGCAGTCCTGTCACTCAGCCTTCCTCAACTTAGAGAAAGCCTCCGACCGTCTACCGCAAGTAATACTTGGAGAGTGCTCAGAGAAGGAACGTGCCAGAACACTTCATCTCTCCGGTGAAGTAAATGTGTGATGGTGTCAAAGCAGCTAAACGTACAACCAAACGAAGACAGTGGACTCAGGGTCAGGGCTACTACTTCTGAACCTTATTTTCAACAATTTCATTCAGTGATGAAGTTTAGGGTAGACAGTGATCTGGAACGAAAAAGAAAGCAGAAAAAACTGTTCCACGCCGTTGACAAGACCCCTCTCTTGCCTGGGAGCACCCCGTTTCGGGAGCGGAAGGAACGCCTTTAGACGATGTTTTTCAAACATAGTTGCATCAATTACTACCTTTTAAGCTTATATCTATATTAGGCCAGGATCCCGCCGATATAGCGCAGTCCTGAGCTTCATCAAACAGCCGACAAAACCAAGCTCAACTTCATTCCGGCAAGACTCAATGGATACATTGATTGCTTACCAACTCAACTATATCGAACCAGATTGATGGCACTACCTGCGATGCACACTCAATTTCAAAATCCGACGTTTGAAGGTTTATATGTCCGTTCAAAAATGATCGGCAGTTTAGAAAAACTTATTGAAGAGTGGCCTCTGCTGTATTCGCGCTGCAGTTTCATATGTCTGCATGGAGTTGGTCTAGTCAAGGAATAGAAGGCTCCGTAAAAATGGAGCTATTCAAACATTTACCGAAGCATTTCGGAACGGGGTCATTTCGACTGAGCATGAAAAATAGACGTCGGCCGGACCAGGAAATTTGAATGCAGTTATTTGGAAGAAGTAGTACATAATTCCAGATGGATCCTTCGTTCTACTCAGTTGCGACACAAACTGAGGGCGATTTGCGCATCTGAAATGGGAACGAATAAGGTAAGGTGCTCCCCGAACACAGTAAACTGTTACCATTATCATTCGGTGATGCGGATAGATAGACAGATTGGTGGTGGTAAACTACCACCGAACTGACTTGCCTCGTTTTTTATAAAAGTGGTTTCAATGGAATATGGAGCAGTAAGTAGTAAATAGTGGAAAGTAAGAAAACTGAACCCTTTTCCATCAATTAGATCAATTTTAGTGCTGCCTTGCCCATCCGACGCGAAACACGAGTGCACGAACATATCATACTCATAGTCACCTAAAGCACATGCTTCACAAGAAGTGATACATTTCAGAATAATGAAGTGATTCTCTTACATTCTATTTCGTAATCTATTGATGGTGCCACAACTTTTCTTCTGGTACACCATTCACTGGAGGCAGAAACGATACTAATTTTAGCGAATGGTACACAAACCTTAGCGCACTCATAGTAAAACTGAGAATTCTGTCGACGGAATACTGAGTGTGTACGAGTGGAAAACTAATTCGGATCGCAGAATGAAATGTTAGTTTCCGCAACACTTTGAAAGTGAAGTTAAATACTGCGTTGGTCTTAAATGCTGAGCAATATGGCCCAACTTCAGCGCCACAGTAACACTCCTTGCCGACTTATTTAGAAAAACAATTTTTCCGCCAGTGATTTAGATGTCCTTCTAATGGCTATTATGCCCTCCTGTTCTGCTACTGTAGACTACTCAACGTAAGTAAAAGCCTTGCGTTTTGGCCTCTTACTATGTCTAAAAAGTGCAATAGGAGCACCGAAAGAAAAGAAAATCGCGATAAAGCGTCAGATTCTTACTCGTTTTGGATGTTTCCGGGTACTGATAATTCGTGCAGCTTATTATTTTCGGCGACTGAGTCCGTCGTGAGAGAGCATCATAGGAGTATTAGCCATAGAACTCTTACAGGTAGCATCCTTGCAACGAAAACTGGTGATATGCGTCATGGGCAAAACAACTTTTTTGATCCCCCTTCGTGGATTAATAGACTTCAGCAAAGGTGTCGTAGGAAGCGGAAGCATGCACCATCCTGATGACTCATCAAAAAGATTAGAGTGGAAACTTTCCAATAATCCATTTATAACTGTTGTTTGTTTCTGAAGAAATGCACCAGGCAATGAATAAAGATTTCAAAGCATGCTCTATGTGCGTCCCATGGATGTTTCCATTGCGTTTTCCTATTCTTGATAACATAAGGAGTTCAACAATATGGTTGAGCGTCGTGCGATTCGAATTACAAGCAACTAGTGCTTAAAATAGATTACAATGTTCATATTACTAGGATGCCAGGAAGTGCTGCGACAAATCGTACGAAATTGGATTCACCATTGTTTTGTTATACGAAGTCAATTAAAAAGATTATCATCAACATTATGTATAACATTCAACATTCTGAACATTCCAACACTTACAGCGCGTCAAAGCAATGGAACAAAAACTTACCTCTGCGCGGCGCTTCCATCAGTGGAAACCGCAAAAAATTAAAAGTACTTGTAGAATGACTCACCTTTTATTTGGCTTTTCGATCGAACCACTAGGGTGATATTGTCACCGATCTTTATTGGCGAATCCACTGCAGGGGCGAATGGTCCACTGCCCTGTTGGATTTCTAGTGATAGTTCAGCTGGTGGAGCAAGATATTCTTGAGCTGATACCAGACGCGACGTTGCAAAGCTGAATCGATAAGTGAAAGAAGAAAATTCTCTAGATAAGCCGTGTTGCTATGAAAACCCTACGGCGGAAGTTCCAACGGTTCCGCCCAGTATAGCGGAGACTTCTATACTGGGCGAAAGCGTTGACATTTGAACACGTATTCCAATGACCACATCTTAATTCCAAGTTTTGATCTGGAAGCAGATGTGAAAGTTTTCCGATGAGTACTTTCGAAATGTTTAAGATTTGGAGGAAACAGTGGGAGAAGCTCATGACAACGAGGGAAATTTTTTGGGAATTGCGAGTTATTATGGTAAAAAGCCAACTCGCTCTACATACAGTTATTTGCAATATTAGTGTAGCCGTAAACTAGAGGAATTTCGTTATCGATGTCAATGTATGTAACTTGATACGTTCAGTACGTCAGTTACCTCATTGTGGGAGCCTGCGAAAAAAAGAACGAGAATTTCCAAGAAGGGCGAGTTTTCACATATTCGAAAGCCATAACATAAAACCAAAACTTTCCGGAAAGATTAAGGTGGCCTCGTAAATTAGAAGATTTCAGTGAAGTCATGGCGGTAATAGGGGTGGAACACCTAACCGGTGGCTAATGGCTACGCAGTGCGCATTGCTACATTATATGTGTATGGGCGGCTCCCTTGTGTCCTGAGCAAGGACTAAAGGAAAAACAAGCAAACTTAATTGCTCAAACACTATACTAGAGTTGAGTTCTCCTCCGTGGTCGGAGGCCGTCTCTGCTGGTGAGGAGCCGTCCCAACCTCGCAAGGGAATCAGCACGTCATCAGAACCTCGGAACTTTTCAGATCCATTACACAAGGACCACCTTTCCGTCCATTCGTATAACTGTGGAACTATAGCATCAAAAACTGGTCTACAAATATTTTTGACTAAGAAGTCAACTGATCAAATATGATAATATCGCTCTGCAAGATCCACAAGGCAAAAGGGAAACCTCTAGAAAATCTGATCACAGCGAGCTACTCATCGTAGGAGCCAAGGTGGTCTGCTGAATATCGGCACAGTTGGAACCTCGCCACCTCCACAATTGCTAATTTAGTACATAAGATCTCACAAAATCGTCAGTCCACGCCTTGCAGTTTCGGCTCTTCGGAAGTGGTCAGGATGTAATATCTATCTTCAGTGGATACACAGATCCACTGGCATAGATGGCGCAGATGAAGCATCCATAGACCGATCATTTACTTCGCCGCACTGATGACAGATGGAGTCCACGCGTAACGGAGTGGCTCCCAGGAAACAAAACGAGACTCCTAGGACAGCCACCATTACGGTGTTTGCCAAAAGTTGGACTATGTGGAAGAGCTGTGGTCCCGAAATTCAGTGGAAAACGTTTCACATTCGATGTGTCTAAGCAAGCGACCACGATAAGAGGAGAAAGCCGAAAAAACTTCTTCAAGTAGTGATCGGCACGATCAGGGAATCGATCATGCGCGTGCATCGGCGAATCTATGAATCACAAAACTTACTTGTCATTCTGTATGGTTTTATTGCCAGCATCCGTTTGAAATTCATCTCCAGTTTTTTGCTCTTCCTCGAAGACCTTTGCCTTCCTCCATGGGTGATCGGAGCTTCGGGTAATACTTGCAGTAGAGTTCCGGATGATTGGAGCTTTCGTAACCTCTGACGATAGAGGATGGGGCTCATTCCATGGATAGGCAGATATCTGGAAGCGGAAAAACTAGATCAGAACTGCAACTATTTTCATCTGACTTTCATTACAATAATTGAAATGTTAGTGAAGTCACACAGGAAGTGTTGTTTTTCCAATACTCGTACATCTTGTGGTTAGCAAAGATCTCTGTGCTCCCAGGAAAGGGTCCGGGCAGGGTCAACCGTGCGTTGCCTAGATTTCAAAATTTTTACGATCCTTCCTCTACTTCCAGTGGGTATCGGCGCGACCCAGCTATTTATGTCTATTCACACAGTTTTACGCCATCAACATGGAAAGAGGAGGTGGGTAGTGGGAAGTTAACACATAGAAAAGGAATCGAGGCAATATAAAATTTTACTCATTAATAAAGTAACTTCTACTCTTCGCTTAACCATAGTACGCATAGTTGCAGTCACTCTACTGTGCTTTCCAGTACTAGGCATGAGGATAATAGTTTTCACGACACATTATCGATTCATTTAAAATTAGTTCTAATAGGGATCGGTTCAGATTTCGATTTCGATTACCGAAAACGGCAGCGTCCCTGATCTTCGATCGTTGGCGTAGTTCGGAACTCCGGATTCCCCTCTGCACTTGCGTGTATAGGGTTACTCCTAGCATCGTCCTCTCGACAGCGCGTTGGATAACGCTGACCGCATGCTCGTCCTGCCTGCGCAGAGTCCAAGTCTCTGAGGCGTAGGTTAGGGCAGGAAGGACTGCGGAATCGAAGAGGTGGGCACGGAGCCGGATGTTCTTCTTCTTCACTACTCCCTCGATGTTCTTGTACGCTCCCCAAGCCGCTCGTTTCCTCCTGCTCAGCTCTGGAGCTAGATCGTTCATCATATTGATTTCCCGACCTAGGTACACGTAGCTGGAGCATTCGGTGATGTTCGTTCCGTTGACGTTGCAGTTCGGCCTGCTGTAGTTCAAGGAAATCCTTCTGAACTAGGGTATGGCATCCTTTCCTGAGAGCGAGGGTATAGGAGCTCAAGGTGGATGATCACGCACAATAAATTGCCTAGGATTTGAGTAGGATGAGCCTTTTGTTGCACATCCTTACTTCGCCCTTGAGATCCTTTGTTCAAAAGAGCATCTGAATGAGTGATTACCTCTTATCTTATCCATACGATCAAAATCCAAAGTAATCCAGTACCATGAATAAGACAACAGGGAGTGCCCACTCCCCCCCCCCCTCCTCCCTCAAGCTAGAATGTCACCGTGCGCATATAATCCAAAAACTTTACTCGAAAGTTACCAACTTTCCTCCGATCACTCAAATCTCCCTTCTTTTTGAAAGTGAAGAGAATCTTAGTGTCATTTTGAACCCTTCATTCAAAAGGTTATGCCTTTCTCAATTTACATTCTAATAAGATGGAAAAAAATTTTGAAGCTTTAACTTGTTTTCACTTAAATAAAAGTATTTAAAGCGAGAGATTACGATGAAGTGTGTGTGCAGCGTGGAAGTACATGCACCAGTGGAAGCAGTAGTCAGGGGCCGAAGGAAACGAAATGTGGCGTTTTTGTGGCCAAAGGTGCGCTAGCTGCAGCGTACTGGGCTTGCCATTCCTTTCTGAGCTCCGCCTGTGCTCCGCCCCCAGCAGCAGCGTTCCTTCGATTATCATTTGAGGTATTCCGCTTCGAGTGCGTATCCTATAACTTCCCATTCCGTTACCAATCAAAGCATGGCCTTGCTGGTATGATGGTGGCTATCGGTTTAACATGTGCAAGACCTCTTATTTGGTTGCTAGCTCGTCCATTATCGGAGGTCAACGGGCAAAGAAAGGGTCCCATTTTGCGCGTTCTTGACGGATTTCTTTGCTTTTTTCGCCACTGGGGCATTATTCAGCATCCCCACTTCCACTATGAACCCAGTCCAATCTTATCGTAATCTCCTCGCTTAAACTGTCGCAGATGTTCAATTCTTTAAAAAACCATTCCGTTCTTGCGTTTTTCGCCATATCACCTCTTCCATAAGCAACTTTTTTCAGATCTCCAAGGCCAATCAGAAACTGGAAGGTTAGCACTTCCGAAAAGGTACCTTCCTCTCGAAGACCATGCATCCAAATAAGTCCCGTTGTTTGTTCTTAGGGTTTGTGGTCTGATGTTGCGAAACTCGCGAGTTTATCATTCAAACCTTCATATAACCCCCTCACTGACCTTTGCGCAACGGGCAGTTGACACTGATACCAGGTGGAAGCGGCCACATGCAGTGAGACGTAAGTATGAGAGTGTCGTTGGCATTTATCTAAGATCTGCTAACCAAATCTGCCAATTGATTAACTCAAAGTAACTATGAAACAAAATAGAGCAGCGGTAGTGAGTCAGGCTCTCGAGTTAGAGATGGTGAGATTGGTTTCTCGAATAATTTCTATTCTGCATAACTTCAACACGTTCGCATAAGATTCCCAACGACGTTATTCGATCAACGCTCCATAGTTACACTTACCAAAAATTTGCGGAGAGTTACTAGCAAGTTTAGGCGCCAGTTACGCCTGCTTGCACGTTGCCCCGCAGCACAGTCGCGAGACAATTCGCATCAGACGTTGCAATATTCGTGCTCGGGAGACCAAGACACCTACGAACATTTTTTGTCTCGAAAAATTAGAGACTTTGACCAAACCTCGAGAAACGTGGGTACACCACCTATCTGTCAATTTATCATCGGGGATTGGTTTAGATGAATGAATTTGCAATGGCTAAGTTTCTAAAAGGGAAAAAACCCGTCCGGCTTTCTGATTTGCATGGTCACAACTTTCACATGCTATTATTATTATATTTTCAAGCGCAAAAGGTGGCCGTACTCCAAGGCAGGCCAACTTTTCAATTTTGGCAGCTGACAATCGAAACTGATAACTTTTTATCAGCAATATGACAGCTTGAGAGATAGCTTTTTTCTAGCTTCTTGGCTATGTTTATTAGCGTGTTCTTCGGATTGGGCCGCACCAGGCTCGTAATTTGTATTTTTCGTGGAAGTGTCAGGTGGTGGTGTCCACCACTCACGGCGGTGTTTTGTAGCTTCGGAGTCCTTTTATCATTTGATGACAATTTCCACGATCATGTTACGCACTAGTAGTATTTTGGTTATTGTTTTTGCGCAGTGGCCGAGCACGTTCAACTGAGTGGCCATGACTCTAGGAGAATAGAGTCTAGCCATTCTCAAAAAAAGTGAGCGCTGAGATGTGGGATTGGAACCACTAATAGAGGACGTAATAAGTAAAAGGAAGACCACCAATTGCTCGCCTATCGCTACAAGTCTCAACGGAACAACCGCTGTAACTTTGAGCAAGCAATTTTTGCCCACCCTGTACTACTGCAAAATAGCCAATTACAAAA